ATCTTTCTCACATTGATCCCTCATGACTATATATCCTTATTTCAATCAATACAGGCTGTGCTACCAATGCTTTTAGAAATCCTCTTTGGAAATAAACTTATGAAGAAGTGGAATTCAATTAAAGGAAACCAACTTCATTTATTCAAAGTCCTACTTTATGCCAAAATCAACTTTGCCTTGGCAATTAGTATTTCCCAAATATTATTCCCCAAATTCACTTGGAATTGCTTCTTATTAAAAAAAAAAAAGAAAATTTTTACAGTGAAACTTTACAGACATAAATATGTAGTTTTAAAAAAACTAACATTTTAAGGGGGCATTTTATTTTATTTTATTTTATTTTTAAAGATTTATTTTTATTTATTTATACAAGCACTGGGTACAGTCAGAAGCGCGGGAGGGTGAGAGAATTCACCAGAGCCAGAGCGGGGAGCAGAGCAGGCAGAAGAACCGAAGTACACTGCTGAGGGGAGCAGCGGGCGGCAGGAGAGGTCTGCGCCTTGTGGGACCCTCGTGGGACCAAGATTTACTACTTGTTTCAAATTGTTACAGGGCAGGGAGAGGACCACCCTGTTACAAAATGTCTAATATCTTAAGATTTTGCACTTATTTTCACAGAGACATTGTGTTGTAGTTTTCTTTGCTTGTATTTTCTTGGTCTATTTTGTTATGGGGTAAACTTAGCTTCCTAAAGTGAGATGAAAACACTTCTCACCTTCTTAGTGTCGAACTAGTATTTCTTCCTTTCTAAGTCTTCAATAGAATTTACCTAATAAGCCAACGGGGACCATAGTTTTGTATGTGGGGAAAATTTTAACTATGAATTAAACTCCTTAAAAAGTTATAGTCCTACTCAATTTAAAAATTTATCATATGTCAGTTTTGGTAATTTGTATCTAAAGGAATTTTAACATTTCATTTACTGTTAAATTTGTTGGCACAAGGGCATGTTTGCTGTGTATAGAATTTTAGATGGACAATATTTGCTTTCAGCTTATTACCTTTCGGTTTCTACTATTTAAGAAAAATTAGCTACCAACCTAATTTTTGCTCTTTTGACATAAGGTTTGTCTATTTTTCCCTCTTGCTGTCTTTAAATATTTTATCATTGTCTTTTGTTTTCTGTAATTTTCCTAAGGGTAGTAGTGCTAAGTGTAGCTTTTTTTTTTTTTTTTTTGGCTTGAGGATTCTTTTCACTTCTGGACATTCTAGCTGGTGTCTTTTATTAATTTTGGAACTATTCTCAGTTAATTTGTCTTCAGATAATGTTTCTGCCTTATTCCCTCTCTCTTCTACAATAAGAATCCATTAAATATTTGTTTAACCTTGTTATATATTTTCTTTTTTAGTTTTCATTCTACCTACTGTCTTTATTCTGATTTTTTCCTAACTTATCTTTCAATGCAACTAATCTCTTTTTAATCACATTCAATATGCTATGAAATGAGTTCTTTTTTCTTTTTTTAAAGATTTATTTATTTACTTGTACAAGCACTGGGTACAGTCAGAGGCACGGGAGGGTGAGAGAATTCACCAGAGCCAGAGCGGAGAGTAGAACAGGTAGAGTAACGAAATACACTGCTGAGGGGAGCAGTGGGTGGCAGGAGAGGTCTGCGCACCATGTGGGATCCTCTCCCGGTGTCCAGGGATCGAACCGGCGCTGCAGAGGCTGCGGGCACCTTTGCAGCCCAGCGCTCAACTGCAGTGCCACCGGGGAGGCCCCTGAAATGATTTCTTAATCATGGTTATTAAATTTATTAGGATCCTGTAATATCCATCTCTGAGGTTTTTTTTAAATGATTTGCACTTCTTTGTTGAAAGTTCCCCTTTTTGCTCTTTATCTCCTTGAAAATAGTCATGACAGTTATTTTAAAGTTTGTGTCCGATGATTTCAATATGTGGAGCTCCTCTGAGTTTGTGTCTATCATCTGTTGTTTCTACTAGTTTTCCTTCATGTTAACTCATCTCCTTATGTGCCTGGTTATCTTTGATTATGTACTGACTTTATATTTGGAAATTCATAGAAATAATTTGAAGACTAGAATAAAGTTATCTTCCTCCAGAAAGTATTTTTATGTACTTCTTCCAAGTGTCCAAGGGCCCTAACAATCTGGAATCAGATTCCTGAGCATAGGACCATGGTAATGTCCTGGGATGTGTGCTGTTAATAATTATCTAAGCGTGGGCCTCCCTGGTTGCACAAGGGGTTAAGCACAACACTGTGAAGCTATCCGCAGCCTTGGCAGCATGAGTTTGATCCCCAGCAGGCCAGGGAGCTACACACATGGCACAGCAGACCTTTCCTGTCTCACCCGCTGCTCCCCTCAGCAGTGTATTTCAGCCAGTCTGCCTGTTCTGTTCCCCAGAACAGTCTGCCTGTTCTGTCTCTGGTGAATCCTCTCACTCCTGCCCCGGCACCTCTGGCCTGTACCCCAGTTCTTGTATGCATAAATAAATAAATATTTGAAAAAAAAAACAATAACCCCCCTACAAATAATTATCCAAGTGATTCTCATTTCCAGGGGGAATTCTTCAGACATCTATAAGGAACTGTTCCAATTCAAGAGTCTATAATTTTCTCCATGAGGTAATGGAAACCACATTGCAATGGTAGCAAGTAATCCAGATTCTATCTTGGTTCTGTCTTGACAAGCTGTGTGATTTTTGAACACATTACATAATGTCCTAAGACTCAATTTTCCTGTCTGCAAGAATAAGTGAGAATAGATGTATCTCATGGGTCTTACAAGCTAGAAATGTGGGTTTCTGAGGGTGGCCTGGAAGAAACAAATCTTCAAAGTCACTGGAAAATTCTTTGCAACATTCAGGTGATAGAGAATTATCTTGGAATGACTGTCTGTGACAGCTGAGCAAGGCCTCACGACCTGGCTGGTTTCCTGGAGTTGGCAGGCATTCAGCCCTGGCTATGTCTGTCACACAAGGCAGGTGGGAGTGGATAGGGTGGCAGAACTGAAGTTGGAAACTCAGAAACCTGACCAATTTGGCTCTAACCACTTCATTACTTTTTACTATTGAAAAGTGAGGGCTAAGGTGGTAAATCAGCTGTCCTGAAGAGTGGTGAGATAACCATGCGGTGCCTTATCTATGGGCAACTAGCTCAGGAATACACCGGCCTCTAGAAGGTGAGACTAGTACCTATCTCAAAGATGAAGATATGCAAGTTTTAGTAGCTACCCATATCTCTGCCACTTAAGCTCTGATGACTTTCAAGTCCATATCTCTCAGATAAAATGTTCTTCAGAACAACAGTTCCAACTGTCTCCTGGACAGCACCACCTAAAAAGCCCCTTCAGAACCTCCAACTCAACAGGATCAAGATTGATCTATCTTCTATTCCAGACCTATATTGGGTAAAGGTATCCAGACTAATAAAACTTATCTTTATTTTTATCAAATTTATATTTATTTTTATTGTGTTTATTATTAATAAAGAGCTGACTAGTAAGTTTAGATTAGCTATTTGAAGACCAGAAGACAAAGTAGTGAAAAACATGATGGAAAAGACTTTATTTTCAGCATAGATAATCAAAATTGTTGCTTTCTATCTAGGTTCTCTATGGGTTCTGATGAAAGCCTTGCACAAATTTAATTAGAAAGATGGAAGGCCAAGAAATGCCTATAACCTGTTGGGCAACTGATTCCAACAGATAGACACCAATACATTAGGAAGGTTGTAAACAAGTGTATCACGAAGTCTGTTTTAAAGGAAATCATCAGAAGGTAATAATACCACTCAACTCTGATCTTTTTGTGTCATGGGGTGCTGTGGATCCCTTCCGATCATGCCTGTGAATTCTAGAGAACTTTGTTTATCCCAGTGCTTGACTGTGTTTATAAATACAGCTCCCCCTCCTCCCTACCTTCATTCCTCACTTTTCTGAAAGTCCATATCCCCAGGTCTATATTTTCCCCTTGACTTCAATGTTGACATGTTTTTTTTTGGCAAATATATTATTCTTGAACCTTCTCCTTATAGTCTAAAGTCTTAAAAGCTTAGAGTTTTCCTACCCAGACTTACTCATTCGATACATCACAAATGTACCTAACTGTATATATCTGTGCTGCTGCTTTTTACCGTTGGGAGATTTCCAACTCAGAATAGTCGTTGGGCAGTATGCAAAAGAATATTTCAGCAAGGCTACTTTCTGCAGATTAATGTTATTCTCATCTTTAATTTTCACCATGCTGTTGAGAGAATGGTGATAAGAAGCTTTCCAGAGCTTCTGTTAGCCATGGGGTCCTGGATGTATTGGAACATACTTTACATCAATGATAGTCATTTGGAAGAAACTTGTCTCAGCTTTCACCAGAAGACTCTCTTCAATCTCCTATTTTTCTCCATCTTCTTGCCTTCATCATTGTCACTCTGATTTCATCCCTATTATTTAACCTTTACTTCACTCTATTTCGACTCCCTCCACTTAGTTTCTTATTATGCCAAGTACATGTCTGCGTTGGTGACCTAAAATTTGCTGTCTAGAATGTTCTTTCCTCAATATACATATGAGTCAACCCCTCATCTTAAATGAGGTAAATTAAATGTTACCTTTTAGGGAATTCTTCTTTGACCACAGCTCCAAAATTGTAACACACCTATCCCTTTTCCATGCTTTTTCTCCTTGGCCTTTATCACTGCCTAAAATTCTCAAAAATTCCTGACTTATTTTTTTGTGACCACCACTAGAATCTATGAGATTCTCTGAGAAATTTGATTCAGAAATTTTGATTTGTTTCACTTACTTCTGAATATCCAGTCCCCAACAATTCTTATAAAGTAGTATATGCAATACATACTTATTGAATGAATGATCAAGCATATAGAAAAAAGGACCAGATGGAATTGTAGAAAGAAGTACATTGGACACATCATCTTTACTGCTCATAAGTTCTTAGACACCCTTCATCTTACAATCAAAACTATACAACCAGAAATAAGCCTTGTCTTATTTCCACCAATACCTTGTTAGGAGATCATTTACCTGTGACAACACTGGGGATTTTAGAGAGAAAGCTCTTGACTGTTCTGATGGGTACACCCCCTGTCTTGTCATCTTGCATCTTTGCAATGATATCTTCAATCTGAAAAAGGTAAAGAAAAGAAGTGTCATTTCGCCCCCACAAATAGTAAAGGATACCTTTATAAAAAGCTAAAATGAACATATGTGCCAAAATGAATACCAACAATAGATACCAGAAAAAGACTTCAACTGGTCAGTTATTAAATATAGTAGCAGGATCTGTTATGGACCAGTGCTGGGGTTGGGGAGTTTGAGGATTCATGGTAGCACGCTCTATCAGAAAAATAACCTAGTTGAATAAGGTAAGGAAAGAGAAATACATTAGAATTCTTGATAGGGGCAGAACCCTGCTCCCCTCCCCCGCCCACAGAGGCGGCACTCTCCGACCGGCAGAGGGGAGGAAACAACAAACCAAAACGGCCAACAAGAAAAACGACGCAGCAAGCGGGACTGGGAGTGGAAAGGAACTATTGCAGCCACCACACCCCGTGAACGGGAGCTGTGGAGAACCCTGCAGGATTCGCCGCGGCGGTGAGCGAACGGCTCCGGGCGCCATTAGAGAAGAACAAAGACCCCGGGAGACGCGCACAAAGCCCGGGCTGCCGGTAAGCTGGCGCTGATAGCGGCGCGCTCGGCGCGCTTGAAAAGCAAGTGCAGACCAGGATCGCGGCTGCCCAGGTCCCCGCGCCTGCGACCTAGGCTTGGGAGACGACCTAGGCTTGCGGGGAGGCGCGGAGGTCCTCACTGAGGTGAAGGTCCCTCCCTGAGTGAGCAGGAACCAGGCGCCCAGGCACGGGAGCTGTGCAAAAGGCGCCCTTCCCGCGCCACTGAACTGGGCTACAGCCCGCGTCCTGGAACTGAGGGCTTTGGAACTGAGACCCGGGGCATGAAATTAGGGGCGTGGGTTCCCCACGACGGTGGGGCACAAGGCAGACACAGCACCCCAAAGCCGTTGAGGTGTACCCTACCATCCCCGCTTTGCTCCCTGTCCCAAGGCATGGAAAATCAGCTCCCCAAGGGCTCTAGGAGAGATCTTTGGCGCCACCTAGCGACTTGTAGACAGCACAGGCTCCTGAAGGAGCTAGTGGCCAGCTGGGGAGTTAGCCCACACCCGGCCCCTTCCGAACAAGTAGTCTGAGCCCACAGGGAGAGCGAGCACCCACAGCCAGGGCAGACCAGGCACGCAGAAGAGTGTGCCTGACACCGGACGCGCAGGGAGTGTGTCCCACATCACCATTTTAGAACAGGGACATTTCTTCAGTAAAGACTACCCGCAGAAGGCTTCCTCAGGAGCCAGAGGTGAGCGGGGGAAGTTCGCCCACGCCAGACCCCCTCTGGCCTGCAGTCCAAGCCCAGAGGGGGAGCAGGAACCCACCGCCGGGGCAGACCAGGCGCACAGGGGAGTGTGTCCCCACATCGACATTTTAGGACAGGGACCTTTCTCCAATAAAGACTGCTAGAAACTGACAGATGACTCCAGGAGGAACCAGAGGGGAGAAGAGAAGCCCACCCAAGATGCCGGCCAGTCCCAACAACACAGTGTCCCAACGCATACGGCAAATTAGAAAACAGACAGTAGGGAGGAGAAGAACCACACGCAACCTAGCAACTCTCCAGAGAAAAAGCACACCACAAAAGAAAACCAGCCCCCAGATGGCAACGACAGTAACTTGGAAGAACTTCTGAGCCTTCCAGAAAGAGAATTTAAAATTGCCGTGATTAAAAAACTGACAGAAGTCATAAAGGAAAACAATGATAAGGGAAAAATAATCAACGATCAGAAGAATGAAATTGAGTCCCTAAAGAGGGAAGTAAAAGAAATGCAGGAGATCAAAGAATTAGCGGAAGAACTAAAGAATTCTGGGAAAAGCAATGAAAGCAGAATTGATGAAATGGAAGAACGAATAAGTGCTCTTGAAGACACAGAAATAAAAAGAACCAAAACAGAAAAGGAAAGAGAAGTACGAAGGAAAAAGAATGAAGAAAGACTTCGGGAACTATCTGACTCCATGAGGAAAGGAAATATAAGAGTTATAGGAATACCAGAAGGAGAGGAGAGAGAAGTAGGAACAGAGAAAATATTCAAAGAGATAATTGAAGAGAACTTCCCAAATGTGAAGAAGGAGCTGAAAATTGATATACAAGAAGCAAGAAGAACACCAAACTTCCACGACGAAAGAAAAAATAGAGCAAGACACATAATAGTAAAGCTCCCAAGAATCCAGGACAAGGAAAAAATAATGAAGCTGGCAAGAGGGAAGAAACAGATAACATTCAAAGGAAAGCCAATCAGGCTGACATCAGACTTCTCCGAAGAAACACTACGGGCAAGGAGAGAGTGGAGGGACATAGTCACCAGACTCCAAGAAAACAGATGCCAACCAAGAATACTCTATCCCGCAAAGCTCTCCTTCCTCTTTGAAGAAAAAATATGGACCTTCCCAGACAAACAGAAACTCCGGAATTTCATTGCAACTAAACCCCCACTCCAAAAAATACTACAAGGAGTCCTAAAGCCAGAACCTCAGAGGGACGAATAACAATGAAAGAAGGCCAAAAAAAAAAAAAGTTATTAAAAGAATAAATAAATAAAATCAAAGGAAAGACAAACACAATGGCAAATGCAGATGTTAACATATCAATATTAACTCTAAATGTAAATGGACTAAACTCTTCAATAAAAAGACACAGAGTTGCAGCCTGGATTAAGAAACAAAACCCAACCTTTTGCTGTCTCCAGGAAACACATTTAGCTAAAAAGATAAAAATAGGCTCAAAGTCAAAGGATGGAAAACAATCCTACAAGCAAATGGGCCAAAAAAGAAAGCAGGAACAGCTATACTTATATCAGATAAAACAGATTTCAAACTCAAAAAGATAAAAAGAGACCCCAATGGTCACTACATTATGATCAAGGGGACAATACTTCAAGAAGAAATAACACTCATTAACATATACTCACCAAACGAAGGAGCACCAAAATATATCAGACAACTGTTGTCTTCTCTGAAAACAGACATCAGAGAAAACACATACGTAGTGGAGACTTCAACACACCACTATCACAATGGATAGATCAACAAGACAAAAAATAAGTAAAGAAACCAAAGCTCTAAATAAGGACCTAGAGCAATTGGGCTTAACAGACATCTATAGAACACTAAACCCCAAAAAAACGAGTACACACATTTTTCTCAAGCGCACACGGATCATTCTCCAGGATCGATCACATACTGGGGCACAAGACAAACATCAACAGATACACCAAGATTGAAATCATACCAACCATCTTTTCTGACCATGAAGGCATCAAACTAGAACTAAACCATAAAAAGAAGGCAAGGAACTTTCCTACCTCATGGAGATTAAAAACCACACTACTGGAAGACCACTGGACTAATGAGGAGATCAAAGAAGAAATTAAAAAATTTTTTGAATTGAACGACAAGGAGGACACCAATATCCTAAATGTATGGGATGCAGCAAAAGCAGTAATAAGAGGAAAATATATAGCAATAGAAGCTCACATCAAGAAACAAGAAAGAACTCAAAGAAACAACCTAATCTCGAAGCTCAAAGATCTAGAAAAAGAACAACAAAAAAACCCCAAAACCAGTAGAAGAAAAGAAATAATAAAACCAAAGCAAATAAATGAAATTGAAACTAAAAAAACAATCCAAAAGATCAATGAAACCAAGAGCTGGTTCTTTGAAAAAATAAATAAAATAGACAAACCCCTAGCCAGGCTCACAAAGGAAAAAAGGGAGAAAGCACAAATAAACAGGATCATCAATGAAAGAGGAGAAATCACAACAGGACACAGCAGAAATCAAAAGAATAATCAGTAACTACTATGAACAGTTATATGGAAATAAGTTCAATAATCTAGAGGAGATGGACAAATTCCTACAACTCTACAATCACCCAAAGCTAGATAAAGAAGAAATAGAACACCTAAACAGACCAATTACAATTAGCGAAATTGAAATGGTAATCAAAAACCTCCCCAAAAACAAAAGCCCAGGACCTGATGATTACAAATGAATTCTACCAAACATTCAGAGACGAATTAGTGCCTATCCTTCACAAACTCTTCCAAAAAATTGAGAAGGAAGGGACAATACCAAACACGTTCTATGAACCACAATACACTAATACCAAAACCGAACAAGGACAACACTAAAAAGGAAAACTACAGGCCAATCTCCCTAATGAACACTGATGCAAAAATCCTCAATAAAATTTAGCCATCAGAATCCAACAATGTATCCATAAGATAATTCACCACGACCAAGTAGGATTCATTCCAGGGGCACAAGGATGGTTTAACATCCGAAAATCAATCAACGTTATCCAACAATCAACAAAAAGAAATATAAAAACCATATGATAATATCAATAGATGCTGAGAAAGCTTTCGACAAAGTGCAACACCCATTCATGATAAAAAGCCCTTGAAATTCTTGGATACAAGGAACATACCTCAACATCATAAAGGCCATCTATGACAAGCCAACAGCCAGTATCATTCTCAATGGTGAAAAGCTGAAAGCAATTCCATTAAGATCTGGAACAAGACAAGGATGTCCACTCTCACCACTGCTTTTCAATATAATACTGGAAGTCCTAGCCAGGGCAATAAGACAAGAGAAAGACATCCAAGGAATCCAAATAGAAAAGAAGAAGTCAAACTATCACTATTTGCAGACGATATGATATTATACATAGAGAACCCCAAAAACTCCACAGAAAGCTAATTCAACTCATCAATCAGTTCAGTAAAGTGGCAGGATACAAAATCAACACGCAAAAGTCAGTAGCCTTCCTATACACAAACAATAAATCTGAAGAAGATGAAATCAAAAAAACCATCCCTTTTGTTATTGAAACAAAAAAAATCAATATTTGGGAATAAATCTAACAAAAGAGATAAAGGACCTATACAAAGAAACTATAAAACACTGTTAAAAGAAATAGAAGAAGACACAAAGAAATGGAGAGACATCCCCTGCTCGTGGATTGGAAGAATAAACATTATTAAAATGGCCATCCTTCCAAAAG